TGACATAAAATAGTCATTACTTTGTTTACACAGAATCACTTTTCCTAACCCTTTAAGAAATGATCGTATTACCCTTTAAGAGTGCTGATATGCATCAACTCCTTGATGTCTTCAGAGTTGAATATTCAAAGTTCTGCAACACATCTTGTTCACTGCCAGATTTGTTTCTATCAGATTCAAGTACCCTATGATGGAGCACATACTTTATCCACTGAAGAAGTACACTCTGCCAAATGTCAGTCTTGCCATACATTCATATATACTCCCATATTCTTCAAACATTTCACATGCATCATACATACAACATTAAAACACAACAATCAAATGAACTAAATATGTAATACAAAAGCTTAAAAATAACTCCTGCTTATTGAAATAAGTTACTCTCATGTTTGTTTGTTTTTTATATTAATTCCTACCAATTTGGAAACAGTTAATGCTTATGCCCCATTGCTACATTTGACCAAAAGAATACCAACAACATACCTTGTTAATTTCCTCCAACTTGGTGTGAGCACAAAAGTGATACCTCCTTGTTCTCACGTTTAAAATTGTTTCAGTTGAACTATAGTCTTCAGTTTAGTTACAGAAGTTGGTACTAGAGGTAAGATAACACACAATATATCACAGCATACAAAACCAGCAAATGAAAACTACTATCAGTGCATTTACGTATAGTTATATCAAGAAGACAAATGCAGGATAAATAGTGAGATAAGTACAATTTGTTGAAACCAATGAAGGCAGTCATACGCCAATTATCAAAGAGATGCTCCTCTTATTGATAGTATTGCATGGTTAGTGTGAATTTCAAAAACATCAATAACATTTGTACTGGTCATGTTGACATGAACCAAATAAACAATTTAGGAAATTAACAGAGGTACTAAGTTTCACATTGCAGTTCTGGAAAAACAAGTCCTTGTAATGATGTTGTGCCATACACTTACATACTAGTCCTCTTCTGTCTGCAGCTGAAATCATCAGACTAATCCACTCAAATTGGCGAAAGATAAAAGAAAGTTCTTTTAGATGACTTCATAAATCAAGGTTGAAATACAAAATGTTTTCTTAATGATGTCCTATTACCGGGGAACAAGCAGCAATTGTAATGTACAATGTCAACATGTGTAACAACATATAAATAAATAAAGATTTGTAAGATAAAGAAAATTGATTACACAGACAAATAATATATACAAAATGTAAATCATATCTTGTGTTTTATACAAGACATTCACACAAATGACACACATTAACATTTAGCACTTACAATTCTTTCTTTCAAGATTAAAGTAACTGGTAAATGAAAAATAATCCTAACGACTTTGACTATATAAACCTATTTACGTCAACTTCAAAGAGTCAGGACTTCCTGTAATGTTACTTTTGTCCCTATAAGTAGTCACTATTACTTGAAGAAATTAAATCACATTTATGTGGAACTTAGCTTGAGATATTGATGGAAAAAAGGAAGACAGAATATACATTATCCGACCATCTACAAAACTTATCCCTTGAGGAAGGTTTTTAGTAGCAAACAAGAAAGGTTTTGTGATGTGTCTAGCAATGGTCTGGTCACATCATGTCAAATATAATGGGAGACCCAAATTGTACCCACATGGGTAACCAAATAGTGGCCTTCTGAGTGTTGAGGCAATGTTGGTGTTGGGTGGTAATTTTTCAGTATATCATTCCATAGCTGTCATGCATTGGTTATGCTTTAATACATCCAAGCTGAACAAGCAGTTAGATGAATTAAGTTCCAAAACAACAGCTTCCCCTCCTTAGGATGAAAAGTTTCTTATGTAAAATTTATTGTACAGTCACATCAATAAAAAAGACATAAAAAATAATTCAAAATGACACCAAACAAAGCCTCACCTCCTGGTATTTCGGACTACACAAAATCTAATCACTGTGCCACTGACGTACCTAAATGTCAATAATCAAATATATGATACTGTATTTCTTGCATTAAATACTCTGCTCCAATAACCTTGCTTATAAAAATATATTTGGAAGCAGCTATTAAAGATTTTCAAACCATCTGTAGTTTCTAACCAGAAGCCTAACCTAGGTCACGTGAAACAGGTTGTTTAAAAGAAACCCACTACCCTGGGAACATTTGCACCAGACACCTGGGTTCTTTCAACGTCCAATACAATGTTGGACGAAAACCAACTAAAGAAGTGTAGACCAGAGACAGAAATCTTGAATGGCCCTATCTTGTTATTACTTGCATATATCACAAAGCGAAATGAACAGTTAAATATATATTTTTCTTTTACATCATATACATACAAACATACAGTTTACAGAAAAGAAAAACAGTGTAAAAATACTTTTCTTTACAAATAATTCTTGGAAAGACAATATGTAATAGATCACAAGTTATTCCACTTGCAAACCAATATAGGCAAGACATGAAAATATACAAATTTGTCCCATACAAACAGCATGTAACAAGAGCTTCATAGGAAAAAGATCAACCATATTGTAAAAGTCGGACCATATTATTTCCTAACTTCACAAAGTGTTCAAAATGTGTTCCAGCACAAAACACATGTGCCATGAATACAACCCAAACGACAAAATATTGAAGAGTTATGAAGAGTACGCACCCCTTGGTGTTTACAATTTGACAAGGTAATGAAGAGATGTACATGGTACTGTGTTTGTGGGGTAACTGGCAACATACAGTTATATACAGAAACAAGCTTGTTTAGACATACCGCGGTTTGTGGGGGAATATCCGACACAGCTTGCAACTGCTTGCATTGTGTGCGAGCATATGATAATGGTATGAAAGTATACAGTACGAAATTTGACACAGTATGTGACAAACATGTTTAGACATACCATGTTTTGTGTGGAACGTAGGAGATAGGAGATAGTCTGAAACACATGTATGTTTAGACCAACAGCATTTTGAGTTTGTTGTAAGAGTTGCACGACATACAAAACCTATGTAAACCATGTTTGTACTGATGTGCAATGGTTCATGTGTGATCAATGTTTGAGTTTGACATGGTATCTCAACACTGCATGCATCTCTACATACACTATGATGTCAGGGTCAGTTGAATGTGTACATCTGCGGGATAGTCAGGGTCAGTTGAATGTGTACATCTGCTGGATAGTCAGGGTCAGTTGAATGTGTACATCTGGATAGTCAGGGTCAGTTGAATGTGTACATCTGCGGGATAGTCAGGGTCAGTTGAATGTGTACAGTCATGGTCAGTTGATGATAGTCATGGTCAGTTGAATGTGTACATCTGCGGGATAGTCAGGGTCAGTTGAATGTGTACATCTGGATAGTCAGGGTCAGTTAAATGTGTACTTCTGGATAGTCATGGTCAGTTGAATGTGTACATCTGCGGGATAGTCAGGGTCAGTTGAATGTGTACATCTGCAGGATAGTCAGGGTCAGTTGAATGTGTACTTCTGGATAGTCAGGGTCAGTTGAATGTGTACATCTGCAGGATAGTCAGGGTCAGTTGAATGTGTACATCTGCGGGATAGTCAGGGTCAGTTAAATGTGTATTTCTGGATATTCAGGGTCAGTTGAATGTATACATTTGTGGGATAGTCAGGGTCAGTTGAATGTGTACATCTGCGGGATAGTCAGGGTCAGTTGAATGTGTATGTCTGTCGGATAGTCAGGGTCAGTTGAATGTGTACATCTGCTAGATAGTCTGGGTCAGTTGAATGTGTACATCTGCTGGATAGTAACAGTCAGCCCCTATTAACCATGTGTCAATATGATGGATAGTATGGCTCTGTCGAATTGAGCATCAAGGCAGTTGGAGGCGAGAATCAGATTCAAGTGATGCAAATACTGCATCATTTCAACAAAAATGTTCTTGAAAGTAGAAATTCATCATCCAAACACTGATTGTTAGTCTTATTCAAAAAGAATCAGAAAGATCATATTTATTTCTTCAAACACTAAGGCTAAGGTAACTTGTGGCATATGAAGAATCTCTAAATACCCATCTATTTGTTGTTTAAGGTGAAGAGTAGCATGGCATTTAACATGTAAATCTAAGTATCTCCCTACACAGGCAAAGGGTTAGTGCTCAGAAATCTGTCTTTAGGGATGAGCCTTTAAAAAATTAGATCTGTACCTACCACTATAAAGGTCCAAAGCAATAGAGCCAAAAGGCCCTGGAGCTTACAACTTATACAAGAATATGTCAGGAATATTACATCAGATCAGAAAGGTCATACAAAGGCAAAATATAAGTAAAATATAGAACAAGTCTCTTGGTTCCCTCCTCATGACGTCCATGGCACTGCTGCCAGCCGGTATGTCTTATACATAGGTTCAGCTTACACTCTCTTTCAGGTTCAGAGAAGATGTTGACAATGTACATGTTAACAGCAGACTGATAATGGATGTGTCAATGCTCCCTTGACTTTCAGCCAGGTGAGGTAAATTGTGAAAAATGGTAGTGATTTCTTAGTTAAATGTTATACATTTCATTATGTCATTTTTGTCATGTACAAAATCTATACAATTCTGAAATCAATAATATCCCTTAATAGAAATTTGGACAAAACCGCATACAAATATGCATCTACACTAGTATATATACTTGAGACTACAACATAAACCATTTAGTTAAGTGTGATAAGAAATAATTCAACTTAAATATCACCAGTATCCAACCTTAAGGAACAACATTGTGTTGTACCCATGATAATCACAGCCATTATATAGTGTTGACATCTCTTGTGACCATGGTTACCAGCACTGATACATGACAGAAAACAATATCAAAATTGCATGAGATTTCAGTTGTACAATTTGGTATGCAACTTTCATGCAAGTGAACACACCTCAAGAAAACCGGATGAAACTTTTAAGCCACAAGTTAATGAGGCAATTATCTTTAAAGAAAATAAACAAGCATTAGTGTGCAACCTAGAATCAAAAACTCAATTTCAATCAACACAAAGCACTGAAACCTCAATAAATCCCTATGATACACCAGTTTGAACAGAGGATATTTTATTTCATCTCTGTTGGAGAAAGACGACCATTGTTGTAGGCCAGCTCACAGCTGCGTCTACGCCGAATCATGGATGTAGTTTCGTCTGCTGAGTCTCCCGTTGAACAAGATGAGGTTGGCGATGGCTGCGGGAATGGCAAACAGCTATCACTCACTTTGGCTGACTGTGGAATCAAAGAAATAGCACTTTGTGAGCTGTCCGAGCCAGTGGATGGACGGTCCGTTTCCACCTCGGGTAGGTTCATACCACTCTTACTGCTGTCCTGGGAAGAACAACTGTCTAATCTCTCTGCATGGGCCCCTCCCCGAAAGTAGCCTCCATCACCTCCCCCTTCACTGCTAAGGACACTTTCCCTGTACCCAGAATCACCAGTAGAAGCTGCTTGCTCACACACTGTCACAAACGGCACTCTGATACCTTTGTCTGAGTCAGATTTGCTATTCATCTCCCCTTGATAATGGCCAGGAAGACTCTCTTGGGAATCAACATCCTGAAAACGTGTGCACTTGCGGCACTTCTGAAGCTTGACTTCATCGAAGGAGTTACTGACACTTCTGGAGAGTCCAGGTGAGTTTGGCTGTGAGGCGCTGAACTTGCGGGGACACTCGGAGTGTGACGTGTGACTCTTGTTGTCGGACGTACAGTCCTGGCACAGGGACACACAGTCATCTCCAGCGTGACTCTCACAGGGAGGGGAGGACAGGGAGGTGCTGTCCTTGTTGCTGGAAGACATACAACACATAAATAATCATCACTAGTCGTATTTCCTATCTGACGAATTGAGAGAAATTCAAACTATTTTAACAATTTGACAGATGCATGAATGAATGTTGGGCTAAAGGTTTATGGGTTTTAGGCTTGAGCAATACTTCTCTTGCATCTGGCTAGTACTACCCTAATTCACTACATAGCTGAGGGCTAGACTATCTCTTATCTGGGATCATGGCTTGACCAACCACAGATCACTAAGCTGCTGAGTGCTTGTACACAGGTAAAGCTCATCTATTTTATTCTGTTCACTTGAATCTTAATAGGAGACAGTTTGAAAGAATTGTTGGATATTTTTTCCCTCGGGTTCAGTCACTTCTTGGTACTTAACACTTCGGGCATACACTTCGTGGTTGGATTTATCACTACATACATTTTCACTTTTATTATCATTATCGTTACTTTCATCTTCTTTGTATATAACTACACAATGTCATGTTAATAGCCTTTCTCGTTGGAAACTACTTAACATGTAACATCCAGTTTTATTTCACCTTGCACAACAAATCCTCTTGTTTCTATCTGTTGCAACATGGCCAATTATTTTAATCCTGGAAACAACTTATGCTTCCAAAGAAAAACATTACACTGATTGAGAAGGATCCAATGAACGCCCTCTCAAAATTTCAAAACAATTTTATGTATGGTCCTAATTAACTTGTTGCAGGGGCCATTTTGTTTGTTTCACACTGAAAACTCTTCAGTGCTATATCCAGGTAACGTTGTACAAGTTCCGTGTTTGGTAGATCTGGACAGCTTTCAGTCATCAATAACATAATGATGAAATGATGAGACTTGTCCAAAGTTGACAGTAATGTTACACAGCTGTAAGTATTTGTCAGAGACTTTGTGTACCCACCTATAGCCTGCAATAGATCCTGCCAGTGCCTTTGTGCTGGCATCGTCATAGAAAGATACTGTGGCTGACTTTTCACTGAGGCTGATGTTGGCCGACTCACTGCTGAAGCTGGCTCTCTTACACTGAGACAGGTGGTTGGTGGAAACATCAGCCTGCACCTCCAGTCTAGGTCAAACATAGAAATGATGTACATCATTAGTGCCTTCTAAAGAACAGGCAATACTCAACTTCAGCATCATGGGCAAGGGCAACTGTCATATACATACAATGCATTACAGAAACTTCTGTCACTATAACTGAATTTCTGAAGTCCCAATTGTCAAACAGGTATGAGTGAAACTTGTTTTAGATGCAGTCAGAAATATTCAAGTAACATCACAGTAGCCTGTAAATAATCAAGTGTGAGCTATGCAAGCCTGTGTCTGAGCAACATTTAACATGCAATTCTAAGATTTGAAAACTCTGGAACCTAAGCAATCAACTCCAGTAACAAATGTGGGCTACTGGGAACCTAATTTGTAAAATACATCACGTGTACCAATATTTCAAAAACATTACTTTATTAACAAAACATCTGGAACATGTCACCTACTTGTTCTGGTATGTGGTGTATGTGCTCCCACATAATGAGCCGTTTAGACTTGAGCCAGCAATAGCTCTGTTGCTGGCGGAATCCCGGTCACTCTCATCTCGTATGCCGCCCACACGGTCCATGTGACTTCCGCTGGCACTCAGACTGTTGGTCATCCCCACTGATGCCTCACCGATACTAGGGGCGATGCTTGGGTTGGCCACATGGTGACCAGTCTCAACACTGTGGCTGTCTCCTGTGGCATGATGGAAATAACATGAAAATCCATGTAATGTTATTATTTAGTTATTTACCAATGCAATAAAACTTTCACAAGAAGACAAAGTCATCAATATCCCCCGCAATGGCAAAAATACTCTTCATGATTATGTCTACGAAGTCATATGTGAAATGTCAAATATTTAAGTGTATATAGAAAAGTGGAAGGAGAGTATTGAAAGGTTTTTAAAGTTCTGCTCCAAAAGGAGCACTATCACCAATTCAAACTCAGTCTAAGTCAAACTTGTTGCCATGGAAATGCCAAACCAATAGTTTAAGTCGAACTTGCAAAATAATTCCAAAACTACCAAAAGGCACCAGTACACCACCAGATCTATGTATGTGCCAAGTTTGGTGAAGAAATAGTGAACGGTTTTAGAGTTCTGCTCGAAAAGAGCACTACCACCAATTTCAGTCTATGTCAAACTTGTTGCCATGGAAACGCCAAAAATATTTTATTCAGAACTCCACAACTACCAAAAGGCACCAGGACACTTCCAGATCTATGTAAGTGCCAAGTTTGGTGAAGAAATATTGAACGGTTTTAGAGTTCTGCTCCGGAAAAGACAAATGTGCACGGATGGACGGACGGATGCACGCACGCACGGACGGAGTCAATTTTAATACCCCCGCAAAACGCGGAGGGGAGTCCATCACCTGACATATCTACTCCAACAATAGCAGATAAAGAGATGAGTTACAAACTGAAAGTATTCAGTATTACCAGATCAATAATAACAATCATGACACTGATCTGGATGAAAAGGTTAAAGTAACTAGCCAAGTCCTTGTTTCACATAAGCATGAGGCATGTTTCTCAATATGTTCCTAGTCCTACAACTGTTGAAACTCCCAAGATAATAGTTAAGCTTAAATCACTTTGTGTAATGGGGTCTTGACTGAGATATATCTGCCTACTATATTTCAGCCTACCTGTATCTGCATACTTCCCAGCCTGAGTACCCTCAGCCTCCTCGTCGAACTCGAAACGAACTCCGCCTGTGTTGGTGGTTGTAACTCCACAACCTCCACTCCGACAGAGAGAGATGGGAACCACTCCGTAGACATACGCCAACAGGATGGGAACACCAATACCTGAAGAATGAAAGGACAATCAACATTTCACAACATCTGTTCCACACCCGTGAAGGTCCGGGTTAGCATATTGATCTTCAGTAACCCATGCTTGTCGTTAAAGGCGACTAATGGGATCGGGTGGTCAGGCTCGCTGACTTGGTTGACACATGTCATCGGTTCCCAATTGCGCAGATCGATGCTCATGCTGTTGATCACTGGATTGTCTGGTCCAGATCGATTATTTACAGACCACCGCCATATAGCTGGAATATTGCTGAGTGCAGCGTAAAACTAAACTCACTCACTCACTGTTCCAAGAATGCACCTTCTACTATCTACATTAATGAGAAAAGACAGACATTTCTTCCAGATAGAAGTTTAAAAAAAAGCCCAAATTGCTAACATACCAACAGCCAAGCCTGCTATTATAGGAGACACCAAGATGGAGGCAGCCACACCTCCTGTAATGGCCAGATGGAGGCATGCAAACATCCCGATGATTTCGAAACGATGTTTGGAGGTGGAATTCTCGTATCGGGAATGAAGCTGGAAACAGGTATGCAAACATCCATCAGCTTTACACAACACAGATCTGATATCTTTGGGGGCATGATCTACTAGAAATGTCAATTCCCTAATAAAACTCTTTGAATAATATAATCATTTGACAAAAGCAATGATCAATGGTAGGGCTGGATATTGCCCTGATTCTCATATCGCGATATATTGCAATAATTTAAGAGATATTGCAATACATATTGTGATATATTGACTGAAATGTTTCTGTCCAAGCGCGTACATCATAAATTCATAATAGCTCTCTGTGTGCGACATCATCTTCTTTGTTGCTCTTACACTATACTTTCAGGCTACCCGTCATTTATGCCAATGGTTTACAGATAAATAAAGTAATAGAGAGCCTTAGTGTAGAATGTTTAACTGAAGTACTGTAATGCAACAAAGTTTTTGAGAACATAATGATAAAGGTAATAGTTTAACATGATTTTCATGGTGAGTGTGCACTTCCATGCACTATGTAATTATTGTTACTGCATGTCAGTGATTCATTCAGATTCAACTCCAACATAAACATATGTGTTAAGATGAACTATTGCAAAATGAAACAAAAACATGATTTAGGTGAACTACTTGAGCTTAAAATCTCATGTGACCTCCAGTAACTAAGATCCTTGACTAGAATGTCATTATACAGTCCTACAAAATGTGTAAGACTTTGGCCTGATGACATATGTCCCATTATGAAACAAACAAAAATAACAAAATAATGTGAAATGGTCTCTCAGAGCCAGAGGCTCTACTAACAGATCCAAATAAAAGATTTGTCAAATCTAAGAAGGGCATTTAGAAATGGAATGCATAAGAAAATCAAGATTTATGGATGTCAACTTCTTTATTGTGAATAACACGACGTTTCGGAGTGTATGCTTGATCCTTCACAACAAGAAGTTGCCATTCTTAACTCATGCTTCTCTCAAAAGATTGGTGCATTTGAGGTCACTTAATTCCTCCAAAACATCACATATTAAATCATTCAAACCACAAAACTTAAAGCATTTGGTAGAATATTTGGCACTTTTGGAGCAACTTATAAAGGCACTTCCACTTGGTAAATGTTACATGAAACCAACTGAAATAAAAGTATATTTGGCACTTTTAGAGCACATTTTGTTGCCGTGGAGGGCAAGGGCAGATAATTCAAAGGGAGCTAACTCTGGATGACCCAATATATTGCAGCATCTGAACCATATCGCGATAATCGTATCGTGAGATACTGTACCGGTAATATTGCACAGCCCTAATCAATGGTCAAGTAATCTGAGTCATGGACAATGTTTGAAACTAAGTGAGGGGGGCTAATTGTTTGCAGTCTAAGGCACCCTGAAGTTTTAACCTGTAGCTTTTGGGCCATGACAAAATGTCACTTCCTGCAGAGTTTCAACAAATAATGGAAAGATAGCTTACCTTCCTACCGACCCACACGGGATTCCTATGATCATTGCAGGCACAGCTATACCTGCCACCAAGGTAATACCTACAGGAGCGCCAACTAGGGTCCCCAGCTGCCACAGGATCTTCTTCTTCCTGCTCCAGGGCTTCTTCCCCCAGAATGTACAGCCAGAGGGACTGAAACATGCAGGAAGAAACAGTCAACATTGTTTGATATGTGAGCTCCTTCTCAGAATAACATTTGATATAGTCTTTGTATTCAATACAAATTTAGCACTTTGAAGAGTAGAACTTTGGCATGAATATACACCACCTAAAACATGTTGAACAACACCCACACTTGGAAGGCTGTACCCACCAATTGTGACAGATTAACAACTCCTAAGATGAAATCAAGTGTTCTATAACTTCTGTAGAGCAGTATGTATGGACAAAAAGTTGTAAAGTATAATTTGGAGGACATTAAACTGAAAATGTAAAGTTTCTTATAATGTGTGCTATGTTGGCAAAGTCGGGACCTTGAGCAGTGAAATCAGCTGCATGTAGGGCTGGCTATCAATATAGCTAATAGAGATCAATAACTGTTAATTATTTATCAATTCTCGATAAATATCGGAGAAGTAACTTTAGCAACAACAAAATTTGCCAGTAACCATCATATTTCACATCACTGGTACGTGGTGACATATTTATGCATGAATTACAAACAAAATAGCGCCCTGAACATAATTTAGAAGGAGTCCATGAATACAGACATAGCTTTGTGTATTGTGTGAGTAAATAAATACTCTATTTCATTACAATAGATTGTGTACGATATTATCAATGACAGAATTTTCATATTGATGATCATTAAAAATTCTTCCCATCGATGATATTTCCGATTATCATTCTCTTTAGCCAGCCCTAGCTGCATATATGTTTCAGGTGTTGGAAGCAAGCATGTCACCTGAGATAGTGCAGATCGGAGATTTCCTTCATGCATAGCCAGCAGAACTCTGCCCCACAATTATTTCGACCTGAGTTGTAGGCTTAAGAAAATACTCATTTTAAACTGACAAGGTCATATCTAACTGAGTAAAAAGATAAAAAACTAAGATATATGAAAAGGTATGATTCTGCATAAAAAACCCAAGCTATTTGAACTATAACATTTTGATCACTGCTACAATTTCTGTGACAAACAAGGCAACAGGATGTCATCTTTAGGACTGCATGGTATAAATAAATGTATATTGCAATACACTTTCCAAATAGTATACATTGTAACATTTTTTTTGTGTTTCGATATATTGGCCTAAAATATATAACAAGTTTTGTGATATTTGCAACTGTATATATTTTAATGCATCCAAAAGTTTATTAAAAATAATGCTTCTATTCAAAACTGATTCACGAAAAGCTTGAAATGGGGAAGTGATTTGTCTCACATGACATGCAAATGCTGGCAACTGACCATATATACTTCAGTGAAATATGACCTGCTTGTACAATCGGTGATAACAGCTGTCAAACACTTTAGCAACTCCATGCAATATCAACTGTAATACAAATACCTATTTTGCAATATATTATAACTAACTAAATTATTTTTGCCAGTACACAAATCTAGTCATCATCATCTAGGGTCCTAGATATATAACAGAGGACCAACTGATCCACCAACTCACTCTGTGATCCAGACTCATTACTGTAGCTGAGTGAAGATGATCGTATATTGGGGGACCTCTCTGCCCTGGCCGTGTCACACGTCTGGTTGGGGTGCCAGTGCTGCTTGCAGTGGTAGCAGAAGAAAGTGTTGCAGCCAGTCCTCTCACACTTCAACTTTGGACACCCTGCACAACCGGTGGCAATCACTGCGTACCTGAAAATGTCAGTGTGCTGCTGGTAAACAGGAGTACGAGAAGTTCTTAATAGCTGAATCAATTATTAACACTGCCAGTGTTTCCAAACTTGTACAGTGTTTAATGATATGACACACAATGAACCTACACAGCACTTAGTCAATTCAGATAGTTATCAGCATCTAAAACACCAGCTTCTTTAATGATACTGAACATGAACTGATAAAGAACTCTCCTTTCGCCACAACTGCTTGCAATGTTGATGACAATTGCCTATGTAGTAAGGGACTTGACTGCACTTGATCTTTGGAGTGAATCCCATTTTAATCTTTCAAAAACATTGCGTCCAGATATTCAAGCTGGCACTGTTTACAATATATTAGGAACTGACAGTTCAGCGATATTTGAGAACTATGACCATTCAGTATTTAGTTTGAACCCTTGGCACAATATATGAATAGTGAAACATTAGAATAAGTTATGTCCTTATGATTACGTCATCTGAAAGGGGGTGGGTAGTGTCTCCAAAACAAGCTCCTTCAGTAAACATAAAGGGGGGAGTCACTTTACAAGCGATTGTAGTTTCAAATTGCTTCTTTATGCACTTTAATATCTAAGTTTGATTCTAGTGGACTTCTGCTTATTCTAAACACACAAACTGTTTCTTACACATTTTGTTTCCTGACGTTCGTGATGGATTTATTGCAGATTTTGCATTTTTATGCGGTACTATTCTACTAAGATAAACAGTCAAGATCGTGAGGCTGGAACATAGACAAAGAAATTTGCTTGAGGTTGATAGATGATGTGTAGAAAATTCTAGCACGACATTGTGTGATACTCGATTCTGATTGGCTTAATCATATTGACTTTAAAAACTATTTGACACATCATTCCTTATAATTACATACATGTTATTTGCATTAAAATACTTAAATAACATCAGTAATAAATATGATCTTCATTAAAACAGTTACTGTTATTAACTTGTATTGTGCAGTGATCTACTGGTGCATATTTCAAATAACTGTGTAGTTTTCCTCAACTTCAATCCACTAACATATTATAACTTCTTTCAATACATGTTCAAACCTTCCTGATATTAACTGGTAAATTGCTGTCACTTCCTATATCTAGTTTCAATCTCATTCTTCTAACACAAACTTTTTGCGAAACCAGAAGTGAAATGGACAAAATAATGTTACAAGGTCTGTGATAAGATCATGTTCCCATTTCCTGAACCGACCCAGGGGATTGGATGTGGACATGCTTGTCCCTCTGCCTTTTCAGATGTGAACTTAAGTAACATGGGATGACCTACCCACAGTCTGGTGCTGGACACCACCTTGCATCAGGATCCATGGCTAGGACACGCCGTAACATGAAGTCCTCGTACTTCGTCATGAGAAGCTCATCCCGAAGGATCATCTGGATGTCATTCGGGTGGAATTTCTCTGCACATTCTGGACATGCAATATTGATACGACTCTCAGAGATCTCAATCTGCAGGTACTGCTTCAGACAGTCACGACATGATCTGTGGTGACAAGTCATGATTTCGGGAAAGTTGTCCAGATCCTGATCCACCATGCAGACCGGACATTCTCGGCAGTTGTCCTTCCTCTTTGACTGGGCCACTGCAGTGACACTGGGGGAGGGCACGGCACTATAGGCAATGGGGGAGGTGGAGGCTCAGTCACTACATTCAGACTCGTCTCAGATCGAGCTGAATCCGAGTCCAAGCTGGCATGTGACTTTGACCGATCACGAGGTCTCCGTACATGAAATATTCTCCTTAGGGAAAATGTTGAGCCCTTCCGGTGATCAGACCCTTTGGAAGTTCCAGAAGAGGTTGAGATAACTTCACTGTCTCGCTTCTTCATGGCTACGTAAAGACAGGATATGGAGGGATATGAAGTTCAGATTCCTAAAAGAAGAGACAAACAGCAATTTAGCAAAACATCATATGCAGGATATAATATATCTTGAAACAATGAAAAGAAACTGCAACATATAGATAACAAATAATATGTAGTCTGAATTTCTGAAGGAACATTAACAAGCTGTAAAATGAAAATCAATGAATCTCATTTGTATACGAATCAATGTGGGCTGAACCATATTCACCATTAAAACATGACATTTTAAGAGACAAAGCATGAATTAACTTGATTGTGAAGGTGAATACCTCTGAATATTAAATATACTGATATCATGCTGACAGGATTAAGCACGAGTGCCATAACTCTGACATCCCATATAACACAAGCTGAGTAACCAGCTGGTAGCTTGGAAACAAGCCCACATTTAACAAAGGGATGATAAAACAGCTTAAGGATTAAAACTGTGTGTGACTCCAGCACTATCTCTGTGGATTTGTACATGAAAGGGATCCAGAATTATTTTACAAATGTCTGAAACCAAAAACCACCAGTCTATGTATTGTTCAAACACAGACTTTTCAGAAGATCAGAATACTAATCATATATATACATATACATTTTGACCATTTCCTGAATTCACAACGATACATAAACATATTAAACAATATTTAATTCACAACATATTTCACGGTTTATATTAACTTGAATTTTGTTTACAAAAATTGCTTGTTGAGCATGTTTACCAGCAACCCTATGGCAACATGACACTGACGTCCATGGGATGGGCCTGTCCTGTTCAGAATTACATTAACTGTGCACCAACTGTTAGTGACACGGTCAAGCTGAGTGCAAACACAACACAGCTTGTAACAGTGTTTGGCTACAACAAATCACACCTACCTCAGATTCTATTAATAGCAGTACAGAACATGCATACACAATTGTCGCAATCATCTACTAGCTTTGACAAACAAGACATAATGTAATTAACTCTGTCATAATATCAATAACATCTAGTACACAACAAACTCTAAATGTCATCACACAAGCATGGCTGTCATAACAGTCAAAGTAAACTGTTGATCATTGCATAACAATTGTTCTGTAAATACCAGTCTTATATCAAATGAGAGGTATTTTTTCCTAATGGATGATTAACTATCCCTAGCCCAGGACTGGAAATACAAATCGTTACAAAGCATGATTGAATAGATCTACATGTAATCACAATTATCACCTAGTTCTATCACCTGAACAGGGAACACCCAAATCCTGCATCTCATGTTCAGGGCCCTTGCCATCATATACCAGATCAAACACAACACTCTAATTAGGAAACCATGAACAATTGTTGGCTTAGAAGATCCAACATGCCACAATATTAACCAATTGCCAAAGCAGAAATAATCCTACTTCAAACATGCAAGCAAATAGTGGTAACATGCATATACTGATGTTTGTTTTGACCTGTATGTATTTAATTACATAACAACGATGATACTACATTCCTTGTAGCATTCATGACTTCGACACAATGACGGGCAATGCTCATGGCAAGTACTGTAATTGTATATATTTTCACGGGGTGCAATTTTCGCGGAAAGTTCACAAAAGACCTGTTAGCGCAGTTGTTTTTCCGCATTTCAAACACCTGAGTGATGGTATCCATCACAAAGTTTTCACAACCGATAGACATGCAATGATCAAAGCTAGCCGCCATAATTGAATCGTGTTTACTAAAACAATCACAGAGAGAGGTGGGATTATACTTATGTCAACATGACAACACCTGTCCCATATGCGAGATTAACTGACAACGAATTAAGGAAGAGTGTATACCAGTTCTTACAATAATTAAACATAGAAATCATAAAGTAGTGTTTGTTGTTTATGAACACATGTTGTTCACATGGCCAAATCACTGATTGGCTGCATTAAACAAATTGCATGTTGTTCCTACTTGTGTATTTGTCTGAATTTTGTCATGATTTGACCATGAATATTTCGCTTGGTATGATTATTGACACACGATCTTTTTGCGCTAAAAGCGCGAAAATTAATCACATGCGAAAATAACTATGATTACAGTATCACATAACTGTCTGAAGTAGTCCTGTTCTGATTCACTTGTGTGTCGATGAATCAAACAGTATCCCTTCATCAATACAATTCATTATTTGTGGACACTTGAATTGAATATTTATGTATATTTTCAAGAGAGTGTTTTACTTGGAACTGGTTTGGTGTTTATCTAAGATTATCAAAACTGAACATATCAAAGCCATGTTGTAGTGGAACTTAGGCTATAAGAGGCATTGTTTGCGATGCATGGCTCTTTTGCTTTACAAAAATTATTGAAATGTTTCAATCCAAGCAATTTCATAACAAGTTTGTTATTTCCATTCATTGATCTTAAACAGAAAGTATTCATGGAATTGAATAATTATTCGTATTCATTACTATATTTGTAAAACATTGTATTCAACTGTTCGTTTCATAGTGCATTTGTTGCAGCACAAGTGTGAATATATTTCTAATTCAGGGTTTCATCATAGTAATGTTTTGTCCTTGTAAGAACATTTTATGAGTACCTATGATGAGTAATCACCTGTACAAAAGATATAACTGAACCAAAATGAACACTGACCTGAAACATACCTACCACTTCAAAAGCAATCTGACTGGTTTGAAGTTGTTCTACCAGGTTATGTTTCATTTTCACTTTCTGTTTTGTGAATGATGTTGCTTTAAAAATAGATAGCTTAACATCAATGACTTGATGCACGAGCATGAAACAATATTGTGTAGTACGTTAGGGATTTATCTAGGTTTACTCATTATCCATGGCCAGTGCTCGTCCTCTAAGTCTAAGGCTTGGTTCAACGCAGCAATTTCTATAGAAGCAAACTTTGCTGCAAGGGTTAGAACAAATTGTATCTAAAACCATAAATGTATCATATACATGGACATATCAAGAATAATACATTCTATGTTATTTGAGTTGCAGCGTTTACTATTTATATCTTGAAAAATATTCTAGCACGACATTGTGTGATACTCAATTCTGATTGGCTGAGAGCTCATCGAAACCTTACTTAAATGGCAGTTTAAGGACCGCTAATTACAGCGACCGATTCACGGAGTATGAATACAATGAACTCTACCCTTTTGTTTGTAAACAAACATGTTGGACATAGGCGATTTCTACCTCGGCAGCATCTTTGATGTTTTTGAAGTAAAAAGTGAATGGATTGAAGAAGATTTTCTTGAGTCTAATCCCACTGAAGAAAATTAGAAGCAGGAAAATTCGTCAGCAGCGTAAAAGCAGCAGTATTCCGCCATACTTCAAACCAGGTCCAGATCTAGCATACATGACATCAACAACAGACGTGAGCACACGTCCTAACCTGTCCGCTTCGTCCCGGACGTAATGCCCAGTCCTTCCACTTCCACTGTCCATGTTTCCCACATAAAAGCTGGCATGTCACTGTTTTGTCAGGTCTTTTCCAAATTGGGAATAGTAGCGTGGTTATCAACAATTACTTCCGTGAATATAGTTAGAGGCGAGTTCACAGCTTGAATTGGGGTGTCGATTGCCATACAATAGGGGAGATTAATAATTTACTTGAGTGAGTGAGTTTAGTTTTACGCCGCTATATGGCTGCGGTATGTAAACAAGAAGACAAAGTCATCAATATCCCCCGCAATGGCAAAATACTCTTCATGATTATGTCTACGAGTTATGATTATGTCTAATATTTAGGTGTGTATATAGAAAAGTGGAAGGAGAGTATTGAAAGGTTTTAAAGTTCTGCTCCAAAAAGGAGCACAACCACCAATTTCAGTCTAAGTCAAACTTGTTGCCATGGAAACGCCAAACATATTTTATTCAGAATTCCAAAACTACCAAAAGGCACCAGTACACCACCAGATCTATGTATGTGCCAAGTTTGGTGAAGAAACATTGAACGGTTTTAGAGTTCTGCTCCGGAAAAGAGCACAACCACCAATTTCAGGCTAAGTCAAACTTGTTGCCATGGAAACGCCAAAAATATTTTATTCAGAATTCCAAAACTACCAAAAGGCACCAGTACACCACCAGATCTATCTATGTGCCAAGTTTGGTGAAGAAACATTGAACAGTTTTAGAGTTCTGCTCCGGAAAAGAGCACAACCAACAATTTCAGGCTAAGTCAAACTTGTTGCCATGGAAACGCCAAAAATATTTTATTCAGAATTCCAAAACTACCAAAAGGCACCAGTACACCACCAGATCTATCTATGTGCCAAGTTTCGTGAAGAAATAGTGAACGGTTTTAGAGTTCTGCTCCGGAAAAGACAAAAGTGCACAGACGGACGGACAGACGGACGGAGTCCATTTTAATACCCCGCAAACGCTGCGGGGGGGATAATAATCGAGTCTGGACCAGACAATCCAGTGATCAACAGCATGAGCATCGATCTGCACAATTGGAAACCAATGACGTGTCAGCCAAGTCAGCGAGTCTGACCACCTGATCCTGTTAGTCGCCTCTTACGACAAGCATGGGTTACTAAAGATCAATATTCTAACCCGGACCTTCACGGGTAAATTTGCTGAGAAAAATCAAATAATTGTTCTTGCTCACATTATATACTGTATATTATTAAACCTACTAGTATTTATGCTACTTGTTACAAATACAAGCATATTGGTTCCTGAAATAAAGCATTTATGTTGTTGAAAATGTCTTATTTTGTTAATTACACAACCTGTCCCTCAACAGGACGATTCAAAGCGATTTCCAGGGAAAGAAATGCAATTTTTTTTAGGGTGCCATAGGGCACCAGAGAGATAATGTAGATGAGCTTTTGTAAAAGAAAGTGTGCCTATACCTGTTGATGATCCAATTATATTTAAAACATCACAACGATTATGTCATTTCAATGTATTGTTTAATAATAAGTAAACATCATGTAAACCTGTAAACCTGAGAGCTGGATTTCTTAACACTACCATGGCTGCAAGAACAGTTTATTTGTTCTGGACCCATAAACCAGTCCA